ACACACATTCATTCGTTCCAGCAAAGAATTAAATGAACGTGAAGGCATGGGAAAAGGTGGCAAACTGGCCCACGACAATTGTCCACGTAGGAAAAGACCGCCTTGGCGGGCTACCAGTCTATGTAAAGTTCAGAAGTTCATACAGTGTTGCTATGCCCTACTGGGGCCGAAGGTGATTACTTGGCGATGCTCAGGGGACTGCTGATTTCTTGCTACTTTCCAGGTTGGGTGTCGTGATGTTCTTGGTCTGGGCAAGCTTTTTTGTCTGGATAAGAATTTATCACGGAAGTCGAGGTATCCATCGGTGCATTAGGTCACATGGTGGATTTTTTTTTGCTCGTTACATGGAAAGTAGCGCCGCACTACTTTTTTTTGCTTCTCGCAAACTGGCACTTCATCACCCCCAAGGTCAGGATGTGTCATATTGTCTATCCCATTAGAGAGATGTCACTTCGGTGTGTGACTCGAGGCAAAGTCAATTGCAACCTTTACCATTAATTTTTTACCGCTCTTCAATTTTAACCTGAGGGTTGCAAAACGCCTCTTCGTCTCTTGCTAATCCATCAAAAGGCAGAGCAAAGGGTTTCCTTTACTTCATCCATGAAGCGAACCTTGCTCAATTGTTCCCTTCTTTCCTTTTCTTTTAATTGCGCTTGTTGCTTTTCTTAGACCTCATCAAAATGGTTGGCGAGGATTCCGCTTCCTCCGATGTCGAAGCACGGCTCGTCAGACGTCGGTCACTTGCATCCCGTCTTCAATTTTCTAAAGATGCTCCTGAGATTAAGGGTGCTCCTCTAACTCTAGAGGAGAGATCGGTCGTAAGCATTCCCATCGTTTGAGGCACGAGTCTCTCTGCTTGGATGACCCGCTCCTTGCGATCCCTTCATCCTCATAATCTGCGACACCATCTTCCCAAGGGCTCCACAACCTTTTCGAGTCCTTTACTATCGCACTTGGGGTAGGTACTCTTCCCGAAGGAGCTTTGAGGCCTTTATGTGATAAGTGTGTTCGCTCTGTTGATCTGACCATCGATGGTTGAGCAAAGACGATTGAATTGGTGTCATACCTCTGAAACTCTCTCATGTGGGCGCATGAGCGCAAATAAAGGGTCATAGAGGAGATGCGGTGAGGTTATCGGGATGGACCGGGCAGTGATCCTTCTATCACTGGGGAAGTTGCCTTGGGTTCTCTGTCCTTGATCGGGTTTACCTCTCTTGGAGAGCGTTTGTGCGCGAAACGCCTCCAGGTCGGGCCCCTCATGGTGGAGATTTGGACGCTCCTTAGAGCATGGTTTTGCTCTATATCCAGGTAGCTCGGGCCGTGTGGACGGCTCGCGAGGGTTTGTCATCAAGGGCGATGTCAAACAGTGATGGTAGATGACACAGAGAAGAACCGGATATCCGGGATGGTCTGAGGGAGAGCGCAGTTCTAGTGGTTGATCTTCGGGCGGAAAATATGGAGCTGCAAGGAGAGCAATCTGAACTCCAGACGCACATATGGACTGTGGAGCTTACGAAGGCGCCAAAGTCTTGAGCCAGGTCCTGTCATACGAAGATGGGAAGGATCAGGGGTGCTATCCATGCATGGTCTGATAGTACAAAACGTTGTATGTTTGGCCGATCTCCCGTATCCTCTTCGTCTTGACTCCGATCGTGGGGGTGGGGGGGGGGGGGGGGGGGGGGGGGATACGCGGCATAGGTGGCATGCTCACCTTATCCATGCTACCGGCGCACCTCTTCTCTCTTCCGCCCCCCTCTGGGCCTCCGTCCCTTCATGGCTTTTCAGGTGCTTGGTTTTTGTTTTTCATTTTGTGTATCAGTCGAAGGTAAGTGCAGTTCTTCGTGTCTTGTAATAGGAGTCTTGGTGTAATCTCTATCCCTTTGGGTTTACCATATGAATAAAACTTAATTTTATTCAATTTCTTTTTTTATTTCTTTACTACGCCGCCTCCCATCAAACTTGACTTCTATAAGCAACGACCTAATTTTTTTGGCCTAGGGGCAAGCACTCAAAATACCCATGGCTGCCTTTTAATTAGCTTCGAACCGTGACATGCTCACTTTAACACGTTGCAACTTTAGAGAAGGTATGAGCTATCGGACTCGGCCATTCAGGACCTTGTTGCCCCCGGAATCAGCTGTGCGGGATATAAAGTTTTTTCGGCTAAGGCTGGCATCCGGCGTGCACAGAGACGTGGGCGCTCTTGACCGGTTCAGGTCTTATACCTCGAGGGGGTTCGGCCCCATCCTCCTTGACTCCTATGGGGGTGAAGGTTTTGGAATGGGCTGGCCCGAGAGTATTGGCTCCAACTAGTGATCCGGCCTGACTTTAGGAGCAGAGATCATCTACTCTGCTTCCTATTTTGGCTTGTTTCACACGGAGTCTCCTGGACAACTCCACCTCCTTGAGCCTTGGTGGGTTTTCGATCATGCATTGTGTCGCAGTACCTTCGGCTAATTTTTTTGTTAGACAACATACCTGTCTATCTCTCTCCTTCTAGTGCCAGTTGTTTGGGAGAAAATTATGAATTGCTTTCAGGAGGGGGGGGGGGGGGGTGAGCAATATGTGGTCTCAGAGTAAAAGTCTGATTGGGTCATGCATGCATTAGAAACAAGTAAGTTGGACCTTCAGGAGAATATGAAAGGGGTTTTCCTCCGGAAAATTCTCTGACGCTCAAATGAGTACGTCCCACTATGAACAGGTACTCGAGAGGGTGAATATATGATGGTGGTGATATAGTTTGAGCATCTTGTCTGAGGATCGTGATACCATTTGTTGTTTGGTATTTCATTATCTATGAAGACATATTCGGGTTATATCACAGGTATCATCAAATTTAAAGAATCTATTTGGAATATTAATGTTTTTTAAGATTGGTATAATTAAAGATCATATGAATCTGGTAAATACCTTTTATGTTATTGAGAGGTTCTGCAAGGATGAAGAACTAATTGAAAAGTTTACTGAGCAGCTTTTATCATTAGTACTGTATGTTATTTTGAGGATTCTCTAATTTGTTCACTTTTTTGTTAATATATGGCAAGATTTTTATTGTCTAGATCTGCTATTAATTACATCATTGTCTTTTATTAATTCTATATCTTATTCGGATGTTGCTGATTCTGAGGTTACACAAGTTTCTGAGGGTAGTTCTGAGGGTACAACTACCTTGACGAGGAAGCATGGGATCATAACGCCTCTGTTCCTGATCTTGGGTCTTCCACTAAGAAGAAGAAAGATTTTGAGTGATCAATTTGTTATCAGCAGGATTTTTGGCCTTATTTGTTTTTATTTCTTTTGGATTATCTAGGTTTTATATTTATGATTAGGGAAATTTTTGTCTAAAATTTATACTATTGATATGTGGTTTTTTTGGATTACTATTTATATTTCTAATCTTACTTTACAAAATTAATAACATTAGTTTATTTATAATTAAAAAATCAAATTTTATAATTATTAGAAATTAAAAAGTAATATATTTGAAAAATATATTTTTTATAAAATATATTTTTTGTGTCAAATCAAAATATGTTATTTATATTTTATTTTCTAATATTTTTTATATTATCCCATAAAAATTTATATGTATGCTTTGTTGTTTTGTTGCATTTATCAAACATGATGAATAATTCTTTTTTTTGGTGTAATTTGGAAAATTAAGATTAATAAAATTCGAAATTTGTATAGAAAAATCATAGCAATACAAAACGAAAGGATCCTTGTTTCATATCAATAACTAGATTTTTTAATTTTTGTTTATGTTACCTACATTGTGGTTTTGCCAAATGTTTAATATCTCCAATTGTGATATATCTTAGCACATAAAGATTTTTCTGTTATTTACTTTTCTAATGTTATATTTGCGTAAACATATATGTGATTAAATTAAATTGACCTTAATTTTAACGAATCCTTACTCAAACATTATGATTATATTATTATCAATTCTTTATCTTTTTTTCTTTGACATATTGATTGGCTGGCTCTCTACAATTTTACGATTTGTTGGCCTTGTGAAGCTTTGTAAACCAAGCACCAACATCCACATTAACTTCTTCTCCTTCTCTCCACTGCATGTAAGTTTCTTCTGCCTCAAAAGTTCGCGAATCTTAAGACTTGGATTTTTGTTTCAAGTCTTGCCTTGAGGAAAAAGGAACCAGAGCTAGAAGAAACATAATCTTAGTGTCGAATCTAAAAAGAGGTATGGGTACTCCAGTGAACAAACAGCCTTCTCCTTCTCAAACTCAACATTGCTATCGTCAAATATTCTCCACTTCTATTGCTTGTAATCGCCTAGGAAGATCTCGGAAATTAGGTAGTCAACTTCACCACCACACATAACATAGCAATCGATTTTAGAACCAAATCAAATCATCAATAGTGTCCACTACGATATGTTTAACTGTGTCTCTGATTGGGAGAAGAATCATGTGTCTTGGATTGGGAGAATATGTTTGAGGATCAAAGGCATGATTATGGGTAGTAGAATCAGATATCGGTGAGTTATGAATCATATTCGGACCTGCGACCGATCTCAATTCACATGGAGGGTTAGTTTTACCTAGGACTATTACCTTGGGCCCTGGAGATCGTTGAAGACACCAAGCCTTATGTCCCAACTGTCCACACTTAACACATTTAGTGGGAACCCATGCGTACTATGCTTGACCATTTATGTCAGCATTTTGGTTACTTTATGCAAACATATATGCCCCCGTAAGAGGAAAAAATAAAGTAAAAACTCTTTGATGATTAAGTTCAAAAGAGACAACATGAAAGGCCGAATAGACAAGAGCAAGACCAAGAATTAGTTTCAATTCCATATTTAAAATTTAAGACAAACATAGATATTATATCAATTCTTGGTTAAAACTTGAAATTGAAATTAAAAATACTCGAATTGAAGGAAGAAAAAAGTCAAAGTACTTGAATAATGATAATAATAGCATTAACAACAATACATTACAAAGAAAATCTTGCTTCTTTAACTAAGCTTAGCATGTCTCTGAGTAATACTTCTTAGCATCTAAGCTGCTCTTTGACCTTGCCGCAACATCCAGCTTCCACACAAGAACCAACAATCTTAGATCAATCTAAAAATTAGAAAGAATTTTGTGCATTAAAACACTCTAAATTATTTACCAAGAAATCAGGAGAAAACATAACCCTAAAGAAGAAAAAACTTATGTTGTCGATGGTTTGGAAGAGCTTGATGGTGAGTTCTTTGAGATTCTATTTCTCTTCCTTAAACCTAGTGGAGATAATGGTATTAAAGATCGACACGGAGATATGATGCTCTCAAATGGAGGTTATTCTGAACATAAGGCCAAACTTTTTTGGCGATCAATGTTTTAACGTTAATGATCTATTTAGCATATACTTTGGCCCTAGCTGCAGCTTCTGTTGGTGACAATGGCTGCACGTAAAATCTGTCTTTCAATACCAATGAAAAGTATCTTGTCTGGTCTTATTATCTGTCTCAGCTGTTCTCACACATACAAATCAAAACCATATTCAATCAAACCGAATATAAAAGTAGAACTAATATTAGGAATAAAATTAACCATTTCTTCTCTAACAAAACTCTTAATAAAACCATAACTTCGAATGTTCCACGGCTGTATTTTTTTAAAGGGATTAGAGATCTAAAATAGAAGTTGTAGAGAGAGAGAGAGGTACGGTCACCGATCAATCTAGATTGTTTTAAAAACTTTGTTTTAATATATATAGAGTTTCATAAGAGTTTAAAGGATTTAAGGTTTTATTTGTGACCATCATAACTCACAACCACAGTTCAACTTACTTTTCAATTAATAATATGATATTAGAAATATGAATGGATTTGTTATATTCCAAGAAATAAAATTCAATTCTTTTGGTTTTCACTTTTTTCTGTTGAATTTTAATTCTTATATGTGAATCTTATACGGTCTGCTGATTTGAACATTTTTGTTAGTTTAGATGAACTCTTTACAAAATATCTAATATTTTTACAATAATATGTTAAAATTTAAAACATTCAGTTACATATTACTTAGGTGGTCTGAACTATTTTGCGATTCCATATTCGTTTAACATGACATATATTGTATTTTGGATAACTGTGGAACCAATTTTCGGTTGGAAAAGGGGTTTTATTATGACCTATATTGTATGGTTATGAGGATTACTTAAATATAAATTTGAGTAGATAAATTCTTCTCATATTAGTAAACCCAATATTCATTAGTAGTAAAATTTTTTGTAACAACTTAAAAGCTTCAACGAAAAAACCTAAAGTTTGAAAAAATAAAAGAAAAACATTCCCTTGCTTCAGGATATATTATTTTGTAATACATTGAAGTCCGGCGTTCAAGTCTTTTGGTGATCAGATCTATATCGTCTTTTATAAACTCATCTCCACCGATCTGCTTCAATGAATCATTTTAGGGAATTGAAGCTGTTCACAAAAAAGAAAATAAAAAGATCTACATCGTCTTCATTGAATATGGTATGTTAGTAGGTAATTCAGAAGGATTATCATCTTCAATATAAATATACTCCTTTGTAAACAATATCAACTATTTGACCAGAATTTGTGTCCTTTCAAATATTCAATGATATACGAGATAAATATATATATACATATATTTATATTTTATTTTAATATATTTGCGAAGATATGTATGATATCTCAATTTTTTTTTTTTTAAACATCTCTATCTTGATACCATCTATAATAGAAAATAAATTTATAAATATTCACTCATATATGTTATGAATCAATTTTTAAAGGATAAAAATATTTTTATATGTAAATAATTATTAGATTTTACAGCTGTGCATTAATAAAAAGATATATTTTAAAATGGTAAATTGTCAATTGTTACTGTCTTTTGTGATATTGTATACGTTCAATTATTGTATATGTTCAATAGATAAATTCATCACTGACAGTTCTCTCTATTCGTAGATTTTAGTTTGTTCCGTAAATTATTTCGATTTAGTGTTAAATGGAATATTGCTAGAATTAGTAACTATTTTATGAAAATTTATCACTCATAACATATTTATATTTTAAAATATATTTAACGTATTTATTTAGATAGATAATATATGCTTTATTCATCTCAAGTCCAGGAATATCTTATTATAGATATTATAAATTTGTAAAGTTATATTTTTCCATATAAAATTATTTTCTTTAAATAAAATTGGTAAATTATTCGATTATTTATTCATTTTGATATGTTTACGTTAGTATAATATTATAACAATAATCTTTAAGTTTTATGAACGTTATTTTTTTCCTTTTACATAATATCTTTTTTTATTAATTTATTATATTTATATTGAAAAGTATATATTAATTAATATTAAAAATTAATTTATTTGCACAAGGCGCAAAAAACTATCTAGTAATAAGTATAGGAGGACTCTCTCTGATTATAATTTTCCCACATATGAGGTCATGAAAAACCGGATTCATGATGGAGAAAATTTGTAAAAAAATATAAACTATATTGATATGAATAAATACATTTCTATCCAAAAGTTTACTAAAAAATAACGGAATCATAAAAATATTGTGTGTCTTTGTGTGTGATTTAATAAAAAAACCATAATATCATATAAAATAATATAATAATTTCTAAAATAATACTGTGTCAGTTTATTTACTTTTAAATTTGAAATGCATGGAATGTGTGAGATGTAAAAAAAGTGAACAATTTCTTATTCTTTATAAACTTCTACATATGTGTTGAAAACGCAAATCATCACTTTGATAAACATCTTTATCAACGTGAAACAGTCTGTTGTAAATGTTACTTTTATCTGCTAATTGACAAGTATATTTGTCGTTAATATACATAAAATTATAATATTTTCTGTAACGCTTCAACCACTATCTATTGTAAATTTTATACTATTTCAATTCACGAATCTCAATTTTCTTTTTTACTTCTGATGTGATATTTTTAAAACTCGAGAAGTTTATGGAATAATCAAACATATCATCACATACCTTGTTTTTTTAATTTCGTCAATATAATACTAGAAATTACTTCTCATTATATCATCAATCGTGGTATTAAAATACATTCACTTTGTTAAGTTTTGTGAAATATCTCTCAAAATGTATTGTTACAAATAAATTAATATGATATATTTTAGGGAGAATTACTAGAATACTCTTTTAAATAGGTCTATTTGCCAGAATAGTTGAAAATTGTTTTAATTACTGAACTAACCTAGTATACTGATTATGTCCTTAGAGCATTTGATAACAAAAACGGTATTTACGATTGTGCCATTACTTTTCTTTTGTCACGTCAGCGAGTTGTTTGACGGTAGATTTGTTTCATCTGGTCAACGGTTGGTAGATTTGTTTCGTGTGGTAGACTTGTTATTGACGCTGAAGTGGTTATGACGCAATAGATTTTTTGGGAACGGTAGAGTTGTTTCTTGAACGGTAGATTTGTTGGGGAACTTGGTAGACTTAAAAATATGTTGTGGAAGATTTTTTTTTCCGACCCTACCAGAGGGTGATTGGTTGACTTTTTACGTTCATTGACTTTGTATGGCGGTAGATTTATTTTTGGCAATGGTAGATTTATTTTCATTTGGTAGACTTAGTATTTGTGGTGGTAGATTTTTGTTACTCCTATTTTGTATTTACTTGGGGGTAGAGTTATTTTGTTGATGGTAGAGTTTCTAGTGCCAACGAATCCTGGTAGAGTTATTTTGCTGTTGTGGTAGATTTACTTTATTTTCGTAGTGGTAGATTTATATTTTCCATAATTACCAGAATAACATCATTGGTAGATTTATCGTTTTAGGTGGTGGTAGACTTATTGTGTGCTGGTAGATAGTTGACTTTTTCACAGATCGTGATTACGTAGTGGTAGACTTTTCATGGGGTACTGAATGGTGAAGAATGTTGAAATCAAATGTTGATCAGTGGGATGTTGATTTTGGACGTGATAAGAATGCGAATATTGCAGTGAAGAGATTCAACCTCTATTGCGATTGTTGAAGACTCGTTCATTACATTTCAAAATTTTATAGAAAGTACATAGAGAAGAAGTTCTTAAAGAAAGTACTTAGAGATGTTCAACGAACAAAGTGCATAGAGATAGATAAAGTGATCCATAGTAGAAAATAAACGCTATTAAAACTGAAATCTAAGCAGTTGGTACTGAAGAAAAAGGTAGCACTCGTGGCAACACATTAATGGGTGTTTGAACCTGCAACTTGGAAATTCTTCTACTTTGAAAACATTGGGCAACAGATCTGCAGTAGCACTCTGCATTCCCATCTTGGTTCGAGAAACCTCTTCACCTAGTTCGATCATGTAGTGCATGCGTGATCTCCAACCTACAACTCTTTCCAACATCTCCATTGCAGTTGGATAGTGGCCATATGCGGTTGCGATAACAGCGACCATCAATGTTGCTTGGTCTATCCCGGCTTTGGAAGCCTTGTTGAAAAATCTGAGCGAATTTTCAACGTCGTTGTCTATAGCTATTGTTCTCATCCCGTGCAGGTATAATGCATGAGGATTGTCTGATGAGAGAGCCAAATTGAAGAAGTAAGGATATCGTTGGACCAAAGTTGTATCAGCAATGAACTCTGATAGGTTTAGTGCTTGCATTACAGATGGTTCCTTTAATGCTGTGTTGAGTTGTTTTTCGCACATGCTGCACGACATGCGTCCTTAGCAGAAACTCGTCCCACTCTCTGAAGAATCGGCCCGAGTAGGTCTCTTATTTGGTGGAGTCTATCATTTGTTTCTATTTTACGCTGAAACATAGAGAGTATAGAGAAGCGTATAAAGTCAGAACTGCAGATAAAATAAATCTTCCATCAACCAACCAAGTATATCTACCACAACAGATTAAAAATGGTCGTGCAAAAATTATAAATCTACCACAACGGCTTATTAACAGACCTAGAGTTAACGTAAATCTACCAGCAAGAGGCCTTGTATAAGTACCACACAACCTCAGACGAAGTGATTTGACGATAATCTCTAACTATAACCTACAACAGATGTGAACTCGCCACAGAAATTGAGATATTTGGCGGATGAAAAGGAAGAGAAAGCGGAATACTTACCGACGAGAGTTGGCAGTCTCGGATTCGAGTAGAGTCGACTTGCCGACGTCGGGTAGAGTGAGTTAAGAGGCGGAGTGCCCGGACAGAGACTGATGTCGGCGGTGGAAGTAGAAGAGTTAGTTGGGAGAAGAGGACTAGTAAAGTAAAGGGTTTTTAATAACCAAAAAAAAAAAACAAAAATAATTAACAAAAATTTTGGGCCACACATCACATTATCTTCCTCACCCACTCTATGTTATCGCCGCCTCCATCTTTTCTCCATCTGGTTCGACCATTGAAACTAAAGTGTCGATCTTCTTTTTGTTCTTCCTCTATTAAATTCTTATTTCG